CAATGACCGAAACATGCATTTTGCGAATTAAAAGAAGGAGGAGACTGAACTAGCAAAGATACTCCTTCCTTTTCGGTTTATAGGGCTCGATTTGAAAATCTCTTGAACCATAGTAGATGATGAGTGGTGGTATAAATTTCATAGTTTGCACAAGTACTTAATCAACACACTCATTTTTCTCAAAAAATTGTGTTTTACCAATGCATTAATTACTACACATGCATGCATGACAACTAAATGACCAAGAACTTGTACATGCATTTGTGAGTTTTCTCTTAGTCCTTGCACACAATGATTTAATGCAACTTGAAACTGAATATGTGATGGTAAGTAGTAGAATTGGGACTTATAAAATGGAAAATAATTTTTTGAGATGAACCCTATAAACCAGAAAGGAGGTAGTAGCTCTGAATTTGCTCGGTTTCTTTGTAGTTTTCTTCGTTTCATTGCAAAGTGAACACACATCAAACAAAAGATAGCAAACTGAATTGTGAAGGTGGCTCTATGGTTGATAAACAACAAACAAGCATCAAATACATCATTATCTCTTTGTCCAGCATGCCAAAAGACACCAAGCTGACAACACTTTAGAGCAAACTCAGTGGATTATGTCAATTTACAATGTAGTTCCACACAAAAGACGACATTATAAAATGCCAAACTCATTAAATTATGTCAATTTGCAAACTCACAAAATATAACTTGCTAGTTTCCATTATGAATGCCAACTTTAAAGCAGTCTCTGGATCAGTCCTATTCGATGAAAAAATAATGCAGTTAGGAAGGCAACAATTGTGTCGCCCTATGGTCAAATCTTAGTCGTACTAGTTTGGTCATAGACTTGAGGGATTCAAGGACTGGAATCCAGGAGTTATGTTATCCCAGTTCGACCCAATCCCCATCGTGGTTAATTGGTTGAAGGCTATGTCGCTCGGCATTGTTGCGTCGTCACAACTTCCCTCAAGCTATCATAGTTCCCCTCAAGCCCTCCCTCAAGCTGCTCCAGATCATATAGGGGGGGTTGGGGACGAAGGAAGTGGCGGAGCAGTGGATCGATCGACAACGAACCATCGAGTGAAGGCTGGGTTGGACGGGCGATGGATGAGATTAGGAGGGGGAGGTTGCTACTTGTGAGCCGTGTTGGGATTTCCTCGAAGAGGAGAGGATGATGCAGTACAGTAGAGACAAGTATTTTCCTCAGTTAAGAACCAATATTATCAATACAGTAGGAGAATCACGCAACACCTCGTTAGCAGTACCTACACACAAAATAATAAATACTTGCACCCAACGCGAACAAGGGGTTGTCAATCCCTCGGCGGTTAATTGCAAGGATCAAATCTCGTAGTGATAGATAGATAGAACAAAAATACAAAATAAAATAACATAAATAAAATTGCAGCAATGTATTTTTGGATTTTATATATGATAAAAGTAGACCCTGGGCCCATAGTTTTCACTAGAGGCTTCTTTTTTGAAAATAGCATACGGTGGGTAAACAAATTACTGTTGGGCAATTGATAGAAAAACGAATAATCATGACGATATCCAAGGCAATGATCATGTATATAGGCATCACGTTCAAGACAAGTAGACCAACTCCTGCCTGCATCTACTACTACTACTCCACATAGCAACCGCTATCTAGCATGCATCTAGAGTATTAAGTTCATAAATAACGGAGTAAAGCCTTAAGCAAGATGACATGATGTAAGTAAACGCACGCATGAATAAACTTCATCTTTTTATCCTTAATGACAACAATACAAATACGTGTCTTGTCCTTTCCTGTCACTGTGATATAGACCACCGCAAGATTGAACCCATCACAAAGCACCTCTCCCATTACAAGAAAAATCAATCTAGTTGGCCAAACCAAATAAATAGACCGGAGAGAAATACAAAGCTATAATAGTCATGCATAAAAGAGTTCAAAGAATACTCAAATAATATTCATGGATAATCTGATCATAAACTCATAATTCATCGGATCCTAACAAATACATCGTAAAAAGTGATTACATCGGATGGAACTCCAAGAACATCGAGGAGAACATTGTATTGAAGATCAAAGAGAGAGAGAGAGAGGAAGCCATCTAGCTACTAGCTATGGACCCGTAGGTCTGTGGGCAACTACTCACCACATCATTGGAAGGGCATCAAGATTGATGTAGAGCCCCTCCGTGGTCGATTCCTCCTTCGGCAGAGTGCTGGAAAAGGCCTCCAGATGGGATCCAGCGAGAACACAAACTTGCGGCGGTGGAAAAGGTATTTTGGGTGGCTCCGTGTTGGTTTCCCAATTTTAGATAATTTATAGAGGTGGAATTAGGTCAGACAGACGAACATGGGCCCCACAAGCCACCAGGGCGCGCCTACCCCCTTGGGCGTGCCCTTGTGCCTTGTGGGCTACTCCTTCATCTTCTGGCCCTCTCGTAAAGCTTTCATGGTCTCTTATGTCTAGAAAAAAATCGTCAAAATGTTTCGTGGCATTTGGACTGTACTGATATTCTGGAAAACCAAAAACAGATAAAAAATATCAACGGACACTTGGCACTAAGGTAATAAGTTAATAAGTTTTTTTTTTGCGAGAAAATTTTCGATCTATTCATCTTCAATCATGGCAGTACAACGAATACCAGAAATAATAAAAATTACATCCAGATCCATAGACCACCTAGCGACGACTACCAGCACTGAAGCGAGCCGAAGGCGCGCCACCGTCATCGCCCCTCCATCGCCGGAGTCGAGCACAACTTGTTGTAGTAGACAGTCGGGAAGTCGTCGTGCTAAGGCCCCGTAGGACCAGCGCACCAGAACAGCAACCGTCGCAGATGAAGAATAACGTAGACCAGAAAGATCCAATCCGAAGACACGCGAACGTAGACGAACAACGACGAGATCCGAGCAAATCCACCAAAGATAGATCCGCCGGAGACACACCTCCACACGCCCACCAACGGTGCTAGACGCGCCGCCGGAACGGGGACTAGGCGGGGAGACCTTTATTCCATCTTCAGGGAGCCACTGCCGTCTCGTCTTCCTGAGCAGGACACAAACCCTAGCAAAACTGAAAGAAACGACTAAAAACGGAGCCCTCCCGCCGGCCCTTGCCGAGATCCACCGTGCCCCCATGGCCCTAGGGCCACCGGAGAGGAGGCAGACCTGCGGCGGTGACAGCGGGAGGCAGAAACCCTAACTTTTTTGTGGAGGAAGGAAGAGGCTTATGCCTACTCCCGATGGTGACATATAAGTTAATAAGTTAGTCCCCAAAAAATGATATATAATAACATATAAAACATCCAAAATTGATACTATAATAGCATGAAATAATAAAAAATTATAAATATGTTGGAGATGTATCAAAGATATATGTGACGGCCATGCAAGGCAACCATTCTTCGATCGCTGTCGGCGGACTGAGTCGTGGAATCGGGCACGGCGTCAGTTGTGTGGGAGGAGCTACCCCGGATTGGGTTGTGCGAAATGAGAGAGAGCCGACCCAACCCTATGCCGGTCTCACATGTCAGCATTTAAGCGATCCCACTTGTCATTAACACAGCCAAGTAAGTGTCAACGGGTTTGAGTGGACAAAAACTCTCCATTTAGGCCTTTGCGAGGTTCGGAGTGAATGTAAAAGGACGACAGTGAGAAAAGTTAATACAATCGGCAATACTGAGCAGTACTATGGAACTAAGGCATGAAAATAGACAAAAACATTAAGATAAAATTTTCTTATCAATCATTGTACATGTCATTTTTTTTAACACACTGCAAGCAAAGTCGCTCATATACACGATCATACACTCACTTCTATGAAAGCACACACTCACATCCTATCCTTATGAGCACCTTCGAGAAACTGAGCCGACATAGCATCTTGAGATTGATGAAGTCAGCACAGGTGCCTCGTAGTCGATGGAAATGTCTCCTCCCACTAAACGAACATAATCATAAAGACTGAAATAATTTCAGGAAACACGAGCACTAATTTCAAGTTTAGAACTTGAATCCTGATGGTTAAGGACACCACTGTCCTGCTAACCATCCAATCACATGTTGATTCACCTCTTATGATGTAAACTATATCACCCTAGTTTGTTTCAAAAAAGAAAAGACATCTCATATAATGGAGATCAGCAATTTTAACATGCTTCCTCTTATCCCCTTTTTTCACATGAAAGGTAAGAGTATATAATAGATCTGAGCCATTGACCTCACTGATTAGTGGTTTGATTAACTTTTATCTTCTTACCTTACATGTAAAAGGAGAGGGTAAGAGGGAGCATGTTAAAATTTGCCAATGGAGATAGATGTTAGTATTCTTTTGTTGCTGTAAAAGAAGACTATTTTTTTCTCTCTCTTCCACCTCAGCAAGTATACTATGTTGGTGCAAAGTTGAGAAAGGTGAATTTATCAAAAAATAAATAAATAAGAAAGGAGAAAACTGGCCGTAGGCGGCGTCGGGAGGCGGAGGCGGAGGCGGAGCCACCGCTTCGAGAGACGTCTCCTTCTTCGAGTCTCTTGACTCTCCACAATCCATCCTAGGTTCACCGCTAAAATGGAAGTGTTGAGCTCCCACAACCCTCGCGTCTGGCGCTTTTGTGTCGTCCGCCGCCGAGGCAACCCGACGGCTCCTCCTCAGCGCCGTCAGCTCCAGCGACCGCCTCCCACCCCTCACCGTCAAACTGCTCCACGGCCGCCTCCTCCGGCTCGGCCTCCTCGCTGACCTTTACACGTTCCTCCTTCGCGCGCTCTCCTCCTCCGGCCTCCACCTCCATGTCCTCTGCCTATACTCCCTCTTTCCCAAACCCTCCCACCTAGCCTTGCCGGTAGCCCTCAAGTCCGCCTCCCGCCTCCGCAACCCTCTCAGAGTCGGCGAGCAGCTGCACGCGCGCTCCCTCAAGCTCCCTTCCGACTCCACCCCCCACATTCTCACGTCCCTGCTAAGTCTGTACGCTAAATGTGGGCTTTTGCAACACGCACGGAGCGTGCTCGAAGAAATGCCCTGCCCCAGCACAGTCTCTTGGACCGCACTCATCACCGCGTATATGGACGCGGGGCGTGCCAGGGAAGCTGTTGCCGTTGCGAGGGATGCATTCGCTAGTGGAATGCGTCCAGACAGCTTCATGGCTGCGCGGGTCCTGACCGCGTGCGCCCGGGTCGCGGATTTGGGCACCGGGGAGGCAGTGTGGAGGACTGCAGAGCGGGAGGGGATAGCGAGCAGTGTGTTTGTGGCAACTGCAGCGGTGGATTTGTATGTCAAGTGCGGTGAGATGGCCAAGGCAAGGGAGGTGTTTGACAGGATGCCGGAGAAGAATGTAGTGGCTTGGGGTGCTATGGTTAGCGGATATGCTTCCAACGGGCATACGCAAGAGGCTCTGCAGCTCTTCTTTGCAATGCAGGCTCAGGGAGTGAGACCAAATTGCAGGACAGGAGCTGGTGCACTCTCAGCGTGCACGCAGTTGGGTGCATTTGATCTGGCACAGCAGGTTGTTGCTGTGGTGGACTGGGATCAGCTTCTTGACAACCCAGTTCTAGGGACTGCGTTGATTGAAATGTACTCCAAGTTTGGGAGCACGGCCGAGGCATGGTTCGTGTTCCAGCAGATGAGAAAGAGGGGCATTACTGTTTGGAACGCCATGGTTTTGGGGCTCAGCATGACTGGACATGATAGGTCTGTGTTTGCCCTTGTAGGCCAGATGGAGAAGTCAGGCATGAAATTGAATGGCATGACTTTCATGAGCCTTCTCTACAGCTGTACTCATGCCGGCCTTGTACAAGATGGACGGCGCTACTTCCATAACATGACTCAGTTATACCGCATTGCTCCTAGGATTGAGCACTACGGTTGTATGGTCGACCTTCTCAGTCGCGCTGGGATGCTCAAGGACGCTCATCGGCTTATTAGTGAAATGCCAATGCAGGCAAATGCTGCCGTCTGGAGTGCACTTCTTGGTGGCTGCAAGATTCACCGAGACGCTGAGCTTGCTGAACATGCCTTGAAACAGCTCATCCTGCTAGAGCCCTGGAACTCTGGGAACTATGCCATGCTCTCCGACATATACTCTAACAGCAGCAGATGGAAGGATGATGCAAAGCTTAGATTGCACATGAAGGTGATAGGGGTCAAGGAGGTCACCGGATATAGCTGGGTTGACTTTGATGGTAAGGTCCACAAGTTCCATGTTGGAGATAACTGGCATCCCCTCATGGATCAAATATACAAAAAGCTAGATGAATTAGGCATGGAAATGGAAACCATAGGTTACAAACCAACTACTGATGTTGTCATGTTTAACGTTGAAGATGAGGAGAAGGAGCACACTCCAGTTCATCATAGCGAGAAACTTGCCATTGCATTTTGCCTTCTCACCACCAGACCAGGCGAGGCCATTAGGGTCATCAAGAACACCAGGGTTTGCACCGACTGTCACACTGATATTAAACTTATATCAAGGATAACTCATCGGGAGATCATTGTTCGGGATAACAGCAGATTTCATTGTTTCAGAGATGGTTGTTGCTCTTGTAATGATTACTGGTAGAAGTAGAAATATGATGCCGGTTACAAAAGATTAGCAGCGTACTTTTTAACTTGTAAACTAGAGTTAGATAGATTTTTAGTTACACAAAATTTTGACATATTGAGGTTTTCTTTTACTCAATTGTTTCGACTGTAAGTAATCTGAAGGTGCTAGTTTGTTTACAGCTACAGTTTATCACAGAAATTAAAATTTCTCAATGCTGCTGAAATTTCCGTGCCCCCTTTGGTTGTTAAATTTCTTGTTGTACTTTCAGATCCTGGTGTTCAGGCTCTAACAAACCCCCTCCATCCGAAAATAAGTGTCTTAACTTTGTACTGTAGAATTAGTTGTGACAATGTTTGACATGCGATGCTCACAACAGTTCATCTGTACATTATCAGGATGAACTGAAGATATATATGATTCGATGCAATGCTAAATCCCTCTCTCTCTCAAAAAAAAAAAAGAAGCAGCTAAATCCGAATGCATAACCAATGCCTTTTAACCATTTTTTACTGTGGGGAATACATTTTTACTCTGGATGCTTTCCAGGAATGTCCATCTGCAGCAAAAACCTCAATATGATCTCTATAGTACTACATTTTTACTGAGGTAACCGACCTCTATCATTTAAGATCTCGCCACTTGAGATTCAGGTCCATAAGGGAACCTAAGAGTATCTCCAGCAGTTTCCCTGGAAAACTTCACCTATTGACCCTTTAGGGCATCTTTCTATAAAATTTCTCGGTGTGAAAGGCGTGTGGCTGTAACAGTTCCCCTATAAACCTCTCTCTAAACAAAGCCTGACATGTGTGTTTCACACATACTCTTCTAAAAAAGAGCAAACCCCATTGAAGACGGGATTGAGGTACAACAAGGCCATTTCCATCCACCTCACGGAGCCGTACGTCGACGTTACCGCTCATACAGCTTCCAGCCAGCGAGTAGTTAGCTTTCCTCTAGAAGTCATGGAAGTGTGGATAAATCGGTAGAAGGTTTTTATTTCTTAAAATTCGCCCTATCCGTCCTAAATATGGACGGAGAGCAGTCTTGAGTTTTGGAGGGTCCTCGAGATCTCATTTTAGGTCGAGTAGAAACGCTAGGGAGTCTCCAGCATGCACGAAGACGCCAACAGAGCTACTGCTACTGGTGGCGCGGTGGCCAACAACATGTGGCGGCGTGGTGGTGATGTCGCGATGGTGCTGCTGACAGCACACGGGTAGCGGCGGGTGTGGCGGCGAGGCGACAGTGGTGGGGATGATCGAAGGTGTGCGGGCGGTGGCCGCGAGGCAGCGATGGTGTGACGCTATGGCGGCCGACAGCCGCGTGGCAGCAGTGGTGCGGCCCAACGGCAGGCGGCTGCAAGGCTTGTTGGTGGTGCGGCGGTCATCTGTTATATGGGAAGATGCATCCTATAGAAAAAACGAGGTGTTTCTTAGGGTAAAATTACAAAAAAAAAATTGGGTTTAGGGGAGTTGTTGGAGTTTGTTTTTTATGCCAATTTTTAGTTGGTTTCTATTGGCGAAAGGGAACCTGCTCGAGATGCTCTAATTTGTGTCTCCTTACTATTAGTCCGACTGTCCGAGTGATTTGAGAGTGAAAAACTCATATTTGGAGGAGTTGCGTGGCGACGCGGGGGCGCGCCCTGCTCACGCCATCGCCACAACCTCCTCACTCGCTTCCCCGCACCGCCACCGGAGGACGCCGACGGGCAAAGCACGCGCGGCTGATGGCGGCGGCGGGGGCTCTGTTGCGTGGCGTCTCGGCGGTCTGGGGCGTCAGACCCGCTCGTCTCGCCCAACCCCTCGGTTCTCTCTGCGCTGCTACCTGCCCTGCTCGCGGCGGCGCTCGTCTACGTCGTCCCGGTGTCCCTGCCGGCCAATCTCGGTCCCTTGTGTGCAGCGGCTTGTCGCTGCTTGCTCGGGCGCAGACTGGTGCGGGCCGGGGGCGGATCTCGGGCTCCTTTCCCAGATCCGGCCGGTGTTGGCTGGGGCGCGAGATGGGGTCGGCCGGTGGTTTCAGCGGCGGTGGTGGCGGGCGGTAGTTGGTGCCGCCTATAGGTGGTGCAGGGGGCGCCAGCAGCTGGAGTTGGGCGCACGCGACCTGGGCGGCGGCCACCGCGGTGTCGCGTGGCTGGTCGTGGTGGTGCGGCGCACGGCGGTGCTGGCCTGGTGCTCGTCGGGCAGCGTGGTTGGGGCTTCTCAGGTCCGGTGCTGTCCAGATCTGGCGTCCTCGGCCGATGGTTCGGCAAAGACTCTGCTCCTGCCGATGAGCTGCTGGCGTGGAGGTGTCTCCGTCCGGTGGCGTGGTGGCGGCTCGCTGCTGGCTGCACAGCGGTGCGTGGCTGGGAGATGTAGGCGGCTGGCCCGACCTTCTTCGGTGAGGTTTGTGTGCGCCTTGGGCAGGTTGGATTCGTCAGGGCGGTCGTGCGAGGGTGGCTCCTCTGCTCGCGTCCTCCTGCGGATCGGGCACCCCGGCACGCCATGCTCAGCTCCACCCCCTTTGGCTGCTTTGGCGGTCTGGTGTTGGTCCCACGGGGTGCTTGGTAGCCGTCATTGCAGGGAGGTTGGTTGCCTTCGTGTGGTGGTGACTCCGGTCTCATCAGCGACGTGGCTAAGCAAAAGGGTGACGTGGGTGATGCTACGAGTGAATGCCCTGTGTCAGCTTTGGTCAGCACCGGCGGCAGCGACGCCCTTTGGCGTCGGATCCCTCCTTGGAGGTGTCGTTGTGTGATGCATTGGTTGCCCGCCTACTCTGCTCGTTCTCTAGGTGAAAGCCTTAGATCCAGCTTATGGGTCGGACTGCGGCGGCGTCCTTGATGTCGTTTTACCACCTTGGTGGCGCCTGTCTTCGGAGACGTTACTCCATGTTGCTTGTCTGAGGCTTGGGGTGGTGCTTGGCTGGTTTGGGGTGAGTGGTCAGTGGTGGTGGTGGTGCGGCCGGTCTGGGGTCGACGATGGTGTGTGTCATGTTCAAGTGCTCCTCGGTCGTGTCTCTGCTTGGCGGTGCCCTGCGGCTTCGTCGTTGGCACACAGGTGTTGTGGTGTCGTCTCAGCGTCGCATAACCTTTCGAATGTACCCCCGACACAGGTGGTGCCGCGGCGTTGTGCAGTCTCGGTTGTGGGGGTGCCTTTCGATTGCGTCGACAATGCAGTGTCGCGGTTTGGTTTGCTAGGCGATGCCCTTCGACTATGCCAGTGGCACACATGTGTCGTGGCGTCGTCTCGACCTCGCGTGGCCCTTCGAATGTGCCTCGCGACACATGTGGTGTCGCGACGTTGTGCAGTCTTGGATACGTGGAGCCTTTCGATGGCGTCGGCGGTGCAGTGCCGTGGTTTGGTCCGGCTGGCCAATGTCGTTAGACTTCTCCTATGGTGCTCTTTCTTGTGTTCTCCCTCGTTGTTTCCTCTGTTATGTGTTTTGTTAGCGTGAGTTGTTTTCTGTTTATCTCTTCTCCCTTGTGCCCCCTGTACTTCTGGTTCGCTTGAACCCATCTTGCGACGGCTGCAAAGCCTTGCAAATGAATACAATTCAGGTGGGAGGCTTTGCCTTCCCCGGTGACATTCAGAAAAAAAAACTTGTATTTAGTTAAGTTTTGGAATTAGGGGTAGTTGATTCTTTTTGACCCAAATATCACTGGTACTCCTTAAATTTGAGTTTTAAAAGATCTGCTAGAGATGCCGGGAGCAAACATAGAGGGTGCTTGGATACGTTTTAGTCCCATGACTAAGGGCATGCTTGGATCCAAGGGACTATTTTTAGTCTGACTAAAACTAGTCTCTTTTAGAGGCTAAAGTTCCAATCACCTCTGACTAAAGAGAGGCTAGAACTAGTCTTGAGACTAAAAATTTTTAGTCAGGGGAACCCTATTAAAATGTGGATTAGTCCTCTCTCTCTCCTTATTTAACTCCCCTCCTTTAACACATGCGAGTTTTGGATTGGAGGGTTTGAAGGATAATAAATGCTCATTAACTCGATTTTAGTCTATTTAGTATTTGTATCCAAGCATTGGTGAGGCTAGCAAGTTTTAGTCCCACTATTTTTAGAGGGTGCTTGGATACGTTTTAGTCCTATGACTAAAAGTAGTGGGACTAAAACTTGCTAGCCTGACCCATGCTTGGATACAAATACTAAATAGACTAAAATCGAGTTAATGAGCATTTATTATCCTCAAAATCCTCCAATCCAGAACTCACGTGTGTTAAAGAAGAGGAGTTAAATGAGGAGAGAGAGGACTAATCCACATTTTAGTAGGATTTCCCTGACTAAATTTTTTTAGTCTTAAGACTAGTTCTAGCCTCTCTTTAGTCAGGAATGATTGGAACTTTAGCCTCTAAAAGAGACTAGTTTTAGTCAGACTAAAAATAGTCCCTTGAATTCAGCATGCCCCCGAGAACAATTTTAAGTCCGTACAAAAGCAGTCCCACAAAGCCTTCAACCCCGGAGCTTGGCAATTTCATGTCGAGCGCCGCCGCGGCGATACACCGCGTCCTCCTTCAGGGCGTCAGCTCCAGCGATCGCCTCCCACCCCTCACCGTCAAGCTGCTCCACGGCCGCCTCCTCCGGCTCGACCTCCTCGCCGACCTCTCCCCGCACCTCCTCCGCGCGCTCTCCTCCTCTGGCCTCCACGTCCACGCCCTCCGCCTACACTCCCTCCTTCCCCTCCCCTCCCACCTAACCTTGCCATGCGCCCTCAAGTCCGCTTCCCGCCTCACCAACCCTCTCTCCGTCGGCGAGCAGCTCCACGCCCGCTCCCTCAAGCTCCCCTCCCACTCAAACCCCTACGTCCTACCGAAAAAGGCTCACGCCCCGCTTTATAGATAAAGCCAATGCCAAAGCCAACATCCACAAGGTTCACACCACCAAGGTTCACACACACACATAGTCCAGGAACAAACAAGCATCAAGGGTTAGTGCTGAGGGCACAGCTCAACAAGCCCAACACACACACAAACCCCTACGTCCTCACCTCCCTCCTCAACCTCTACGCGAAATGCGACCTCCTGGACCATGCGCGGAGCGTGTTCGACGAAATGCGCTGCCCCAACACGGTCTCCTGGACCGCGCTCATCACCGCGTACATGAACGCGGGGCGCGTCAGGGAGGCCGTCGCCGTCGCCAGGGACGCGTTCGCGAGCGGGATGCGCCCGGACAGCTTCACCGCCGTGCGGGTCCTGACGGCATGCGCCCGGGTCGCGGATTTGGGCACTGGGGAGGTGGTGTGGAGGGCGGCACAGGAGGAGGGGGTTGCGGGCAGCGTGTTTGTGGCAACTGCGGCGGTAGATATGTACGTCAAGTGCGGCGAGATGTCAAGGGCAAGGGAGGTGTTCGACAAAATGCCGGAGAAGGATGCTGTAGCTTGGGGTGCTATGGTCGGGGGATATGCTTCGAACGGGCACCCCCAAGAGACTCTGGAGCTCTTCTTTGCAATGCAGACTCAGGGAGTGAAGCCAGATTGCTACACGGTGGTTGGGTCGCTCTCAGCTTGCACACGGCTGGGTGCACTTGATATGGGACGGCAGGCAGTCAGGACGATGGACTGGGATGAGTTTCTTGACAACCCAGTTCTAGGGACTGCGCTAATTGATATGTATGCCAAGTGTGGGAGCACAGGCGAGGCTGTTGTGTTCCAGCAGATGAGGAAGAGGGACATTGTTGTTTGGAATGCGATGATCTTGGGGCTGGGCCTGACTGGGCATGGTAAGATTGGATTTGCCCTTGTCGGCCAGATGGAGAAGTCAGGCACGAAACTGAATGACAATACTTTCATCAGCATTCTCTGCAACTGTACTCATACCGGCCTTGTAAAAGATGGACGGCGGTACTTCCATAACATGACTCAGTTATACAACATCACACCTAGGATTGAGCACTATGGTTGTATGGTCGACCTGCTCAGTCGCGCTGGGTTGCTCCAGGAAGCCCATCAGCTTATTGATGATATGCCAATGCAGGCAAACGCTGTCGTGTGGGGAGCACTTCTTGGTGGCTGCAAGATTCACCGAGACGCAGAGCTTGCAGAACATGTCTTGAAGCAGCTCATCCTGCTTGAGCCCCGGAATTCAGGGAATTATGTCATGCTCTCGAACATATACTCTAACAGCAACAGATGGGAGGATGCTGCAAAGCTTAGATCGGACATGAAGGTGAACGGGGTTGAAAAGGTCCGTGCATATAGCTGGGTTGAGTTTAGTGGTAAGGTCCACGAGTTCCGTGTTGGAGACAAGTCGCATCCCCACATGGATCAGATTTACCAAAAGCTAGATGAATTAGGCATGGAAATGAAAACTATGGGTTACAAACCAACTACAGATGTGGTGATGTTCGACGTTGAAGATGAGGAGAAGGAGCACACTCTAGTTTATCACAGCGAGAAACTTGCCATTGCATTTTGCCTTCTCACTACCCAACCAGGGGAGGTCATTAGGGTCACCAAGAACCTTAGGGTATGCACCGACTGTCACACTGTTATCAAACTAATATCAAGGATAACTCATCGGGAGATCATTGTTCGGGATAACAATCGGTTTCATTGTTTCAAAGATGGTTGTTGCTCTTGTAATGACTACTGGTAGAAATAGAGAAGTGGTGTGTAGTTACAATTTTGAGCAGGTTGGAGTCCCTTTGACTACTAAATTTGAGCCAGCTAGATAGGCAATTTTCACTTGAAAGACAAGAGCTTCAGGACTTTTGTATTCCACCAAATGAGAATAAGAATGAGAGCAAGAAGGGGCTATCTTTGTGAAGGGACCGGCACCAGAAAGTAAATCATATGGCCTTTCTATCGTCAAAATCAAGTCAAGCCCCGGCCAAAGAAATGCAGCAAAGCAAGTCGTCTTTGGTTTGGAGCTAAATTCATGGATGTATAGGCTTGATCGAGTGCCCTATCTGAAGGCGCTGGTATGTTTGTTCTTGTGTGTAGCTTCAAGTTATTACAGAAATAAAAAATGTGTCAATATTTCTGAAAATTTGTGCCTCTCTTTAGGTGTTAGGTTGATGGTTAAGCGTTTTAGAGCATAACTCATGTCATTGTCAACCCTGTAGACCTTACCAGTTACGTCTTCTGCATCAGTGTTCTTCCACAAATTGTTACCATACACCATTGAGTTCACTGTAGGTTGTGCTACTTTCAGATTCTGGCGTTTGGGCGACATATTTATGCTGCCTGAACTGGCAGAAATTAGTCATTATTGCAATATTTCAACACAGTACTCACCACAGTTCATCTATACATTGTCAGCTCAAACTGCATAGAGATTCCGAATAAGTGAATGGCAAATTTTGCTTCCGACCCATTCACTAAATTTACATCTCCCGCAGGCTGTTTGACTTCCTCACCATTCAAGAGCTCATCACTTGAGATTCAGGTACACAATGTCACCTGAATTGGGGTGTTCTGGTGTCTTGCATTGTGCGGTTTCCGTCTCCATTCCCATGTCTTATCAAGGTTATCAGATGTCTCGTGTCTCACATTGTGCTTCCTTTTCCAATCCCATGGTTTCTCAGGGTTATCAGATGCCCAAAGCCCTCGGCGTGCATCTCGTGCTTTCATCTCCCACTTTACAATCAAAGTGTAAACAAGACATGAGAAACACACGCTCATCTGTATGAACCTTTGAATTTGGCCATTTTAGTTGTCCTATCTTCCGAATTGTTTTAGCAAATAATTGATCTTAAGATCTACTCCCTCCGTTTCTAAATATAAGCCCTTTTAGAGATTTCATGGGCTACATACGGATGTACATAGACATATTTTGGAGTGTAGATTCACTCATTTTACTCCGTATGTAGTCCATATCGGGATGTCTAAAAGGTCTTATATTTAGGAATGGAGGGAGTAATTGGGACATATGGTGACCATCAGCTGCTAGGTGCTATCATCCAAACCTCTTCACTAAAGTCAGATTTAAACTCATACGTTACCAGGCCAAAAAGTGAGACATCATGCAAAATACTATTGTTTCTTACTATATACTTTTACAGTATATAAATCTTAATGGTTTACTCCTGACACAGAATAAATTCAGAGCCTTAAATTACACCATGATGTTCTAAATTCAGAAATATGTTAGTGCATTTTCACAATTATTATATTAATTTACTAATAAAACCCGAGTGCTTTTCATGGGTGCACTTAATTCATGGTTTAATCTAGCTGGTAGATATGCCCCCTTAGGTATTAACCAAATAACCAATAGTTTGTAAGCATGCCAAGTTCATTTTAGATATGAAAGGTGTTCCATATCACAAGTGGCACTATACCAAAAAGACATTTAAATGCACTATCATTTCTTACTTTTGCAAATTCTTTGCGTTTGTCGTAAATCTTGTAATGCCATGCATGACCCTCCTTCAGCATTTGTTCCTGAGAGATGAATATATGATAATGCAAAATCAGAATTATCATAAAAGTAAACCAACAGACAAATAAGATGCACTTCTGTTTCACCTGGATGAACACACCATCACAATAGATATCTCCAACACAGCGATCATACTGGTCCTGCCCATATACGTAAACCATGACACTTTTGCCAGCGATAAGGTTCACCAGCGCATTCAGGGACTCCTTCCCATATTGCATTCCCATCTCCGGTGCATCAATGCCCCTGTTTACTAAATCAAGCTCATGCATTTTCACAACAGTTTATTTGATTTATGTTAAAGTGTAATGTATACCTCAATCTGAAGCGGTATTGCCTTGCAAGGATCTCATCTTTTGAAGTATATATTATCCTGCTCATAGATATTTTTAGTATATGGTATGCTTATATAACTTACAATAGAACTAGCACAAATTTTAAAGTTTATGATTTAAAATAACATCAACCATTCTTAACCAATATTATACATTGTCCCCATAGTGTGTGATAATAGCTGCCTGATAATTTATGTCAGTCTTGATTTGAAGTTGTGTGGAAATACATAATCAATTTGCATGATTTTGGCAGAAAAAGGGATAATTCTGTCAATTATTGATAATCTGTGTTCAGGCAAGAAATTTTTCTTTACAACCTGTTCGGTTATTAGTCAAACCTATACACATGATTTTTTTTTCTACAGACAGCATTGGTACTATCACTTCATTTGGCCTTTTGGGTGAAGTCCCTTCCCCCTTTTTCTCTGAAAAGAGGTGACATTCAATTTAAATGAAATAAGTACACACCAGAAATTCTGAAAACTTGGCACATTTATGCTGCAATGATCAGTAATATAAAAGAAAGGGACATGAATGGTTTAGTTTTTTTTTTACCTATAACCAGCTTTGTTCAGTTTACTTTGGAGTACACTTTTCTGTTGGCTGTTCCTATGCTTGGGTGTTTGTGACATTGCATTGACAGCCTCACGCACTTCCTGTGGCACATTTGCTGATTCCGTTGGATCTGCTGTGTCAACATAAGCAGTAAAGCCATCACCATCTCCAATGCACTTTGCATAAATCTGATAAAAGTAGTGGTTGGCAGGAAAATCATCATTTGTCGATTTTGAATGTAAAGCATCATCGAAAAATGCGATGCTTGCGTTAAATCTTTAGCTCAAAATGGTTGGCCACATGACCCATGTCTGACCGGCAAAGTTTTCAGGACGAACTGCACGCCGTCTGGTAGTGATGCTGGATGGTGCTCTGTGGTGACTACAGGGGGCGTTGGAATCGGGAAGCCATAGTAGGCAAGGACACCCTGGGGACAAACATTGTTTCCATGAGTAATGAGTTGAAGAAACATAGTGTCACTTCTAACTGCTAGTGGTAACAAAACAATGCAACTGGTAACTATTGTTGGTTTTGTTTGCAGAACATTATAGGCTTATAGCAGCACGACAAGGCTGAGTCTATTTTTTTAGGATAAAAGGAAGGCTAAAATCTTGACATAAGCTTTTGCATAAGTGTGCAGACTTGTACTTGATACATCTCTAATAATAAAATGTTCATAGCCTTTTTAAATACCTCTTTGTGGGAGTACTAATTAGAATCTGAAAAAAGAGAGAAACAAGCCTTTGAAAAAAAGTTGAAACTAGTAGGTCTCTATCTTCTGAAAAAATGTTACCTCCAAATTAGCTCCCTGGATCCTGCCCAGAGCTGTAGCAACTAGCATGGCAGCCTCTGCCAATGTTCTAGGAGGGGGTTCTGTTTTTACATAAGCTTCAGAGATATTCCTATACCTGTTCTTGTTCAAAGTACGGGTTAAATTTGACACATTATTTTTTTTGGTGAAATCGAAACAAAGATTCTGTAGTATGTGCTGTTGTACTAACACCAATGGAAAGAGGGTCGTACAGTGAGAATCCTTATATTTTGCAAAGGATCAATATTTATATTAATCAGAGTTACAATTACTTTCCTATACTCATTAGCATGTCTGATATTGAACTCTTGAGAAATGAAGCCAACTTTGGAATAATTTTTGCATAAGAAATGTACCAATTTCAATTTGTATTAAAACAAACAAGTGTTCACAAGCTGCTTTTCTCATATGCTCATACCATTTAGCTTGTGCTTTCTTGGATGATGTAACATGCTCTCCAAGCCCTTCAGGAACCTAACAGTATCATTGGAAAAAACACTTGCATCATAGGAAAGCTAGAGACTGGATTAATGTTGCCACAAATCATAATGTGATTTTTATTCATGGTTATTAACCATGCGGAACTAGAGTACAGAGTTGAATATGACTCAAACCATGTGCATCAGCACCACCAACCTACTGAGGTACGCTCATATAATTAAAATTATCTTTGCTCTTATAAAGATTTGAGTTGGTAGTGGTTCGTTCACTTTCGGAGCAAGTTACCCCTCAAAAATGATTTTTTTTTAGAAAAGGAGGATGACCCCCGGCCTCTGCATCTGGGAGATGCATACGGCCACTTTATTGATTATTCTCGAGGACCTTACAAAGTATTACAACAATATGCCTGAATCCGCCATCTTGGCATCATATGCCACTACTATCCATATGATGAAGGGGCGCTAGTTGGGCCAAATACCCAGTCCACTCACCTAAGCCTATCATCAAAAGTCAGAAGCCCCAGCCGAGCCACATACCAGGTCTGGGGCATAAACTGGTCTGACGCACTCACATGTGTCGTCGTCGCCATCTTCCACCGGTCCGTCTTCAGAGCAGATATTGAGGATTCTACCTTGTCAGGCCACTCTGCCATCGACGCCACTCCTCCTGCGCGAGTCCATCGATCACCGCACATCGGGCGCCGAGTCTCCACTGCACCACGCCGCTAAGATCCGCCGTCATCAATGTGTAGGATGAAGCACCGCTCCACCAAAAAAGCCGCCCACTGGTCCCTCGATCCCGTGTACGCCTCCAAGAATGACGCCCCCAAGGAGGAAACGACACCAATGCGCCGTCGTCATCTGATCTACTGATCTAGGGTTTCCCCCGGAGGTAGCGGATAGAGGTCTGGAGCTTCTCCACGGCGATGCCTTCAAGAAGGTAATGACACAAAAGAGTGCCGCCAACGCCGGTCTTGGCATCAAGTCGAGAACTAGGTTTTCACCCGGATCCGCTCGAGGAACCTCCATCAAGCATCGTGTGCACGGGTCGCCGCCGATCTGAGCCGCCGCACATTGAGCAGGTCGCACCGGCCAGATCAGATATGTCCGAAGGGCAAACCACACATGGCGCCGACCCAACCACCAGGCCCTCCATGCCGCCACCGCCGAACCGAGGTCAGATGGTCCATCGCCGCTGACCCGGCCGCCGCCGCCGAACGCAGCCAAGGCCGCTGCCCAAACTAGGGCCAGCCGCCGCACCCGCCACCATCCGCCCTAGGCCGAGGCGGCCGCCGCGCCGCCGCCGGAAGGCAGGCCCGCAACGCCACCAAGGCCAGATCGGCCGTGCCACCACACACCGCGGGGCTCCGCACCGCCCCCATGGTGCAGAAGAGAGAGAAGGCCCCCACCACCGCCGTCAGCCCCCGGGCTACAGGCCGGTGGCGTCCTTCGAGGCGGCGGAGGGAGGGGTAGAAGGACGGAGAGCCCCCGGCGGCTAGGATTGTGTCCCGCCCGAGTCGCCCGAGCGGGGGCGACGCGGGGGGTGCGGGTTAACAGAAGAGAAGAAGATGAATTTGTTTTGTTTTGCTCTGTTCTGTTGTGTTCTTGTTGTTGTAGCAGCAGAGCAGAGCACAAGCGGGTGGGTAGACGCCCAGCCCCTCAAAAATGAATGACAACAATTATCATGCATTGTACTCCCTCCGTTCCTAAATATTTGTCTTTCTAGACATTTCAAATGACTACCACATACGGATGTATGTAGACATATTTTAGAGCGTAGATTCACTCATTTTGCTCCGTATGTAGTCATTTGTTAAAATATCTAGAAAGACAAATATTTAGGAACGGAGGGAGTATGTAGCAGACAGATGTATATTTGAATGACAACAATTATCATGCATTGTATGTACTCCCTCCGTTCCTAAATACTTGTCTTTCTAGAGATTTCAACAAGTGACTACATACGGCGCAAAATGAGTGAATCTACACTTTAAAATATGTCTACATACATCCGTATGTTGAGTCCATTTGAAATGCCTAGAAAGACAAGTATTTGGGAACGGAGGGAGTAGCAGACAGATGTATATTTTGACTAGTCGATTGGATTTATGTGTATTTTGTGACACAAAAGCCTATAAAACTCATGCAATAAAAAAACTTTGATAGCAATACAAGAGCATTTAACTTTCATAGCGAGGCACAGGTAGGTAGGATTTTTTACTAATATGATACTTGATGGGCCAGAATCTAATTAATCCAAAAATCCCCACAAAAACAAATAGATTCTAATCAATTAATATAGCATATGACTTTTTGACACAGACATTACAAGTGTTGCAATCTGTAACCGACATTACAGTATGGTGCTACAGCAAACCTTGCAATTAGCGAAGTAACTTCTTTTTTTACGGTCAAGTAACTAAAATCTTAGTTACACACATTTTCTTTGTGACGAACATATCTCATCTCAAACTTTGCTTTGGTACATCCCCTTAGAAAAAGTTACGGTTTCGATGCAGATTAAATGTGGAGATTAGAAGGTAGCTCTTCAACAAAAAAGAGTTAGTCTTTTGCATGCAAAATCAATCTACTCAATATGTTTGATCTGCATGCTAATATGCCGATAACCTTTTTAAGTAACTTTAACATTCGTGCAAAATTTTAGGGAGGAGGGTGTACCCAAGCAAAACTGATCTCGAATATACATCTAACATATACAAGACGGGCAAGAATAATGTAGCTTGGGGATAGGGAGTTGCATGTTACCATTTTGGTGAGCACGAAGTTGAGGAGGTCTTGCTCGAAACGGAGGAGGCAGCTCGTCGTCGGAGTTGGAGAGTCGCGACGCCATGGGAGATCGGGGGAGGCGGTCGTGGCTTCTGCTTTTGGGGGCTGAGGAGCATGCATGTCGAAGTTGAAGGGGCGACGGCGACGGCGACGCCATGCCCATGGGTCACAGGAGAAGAAGGCTGCTGCGGCCCCCGCTTTTGGGGTCTGGAGGCTGGAACCGGAGCAGGCTGGGGCGGGAGGATGCTGCTCCTGCTCGCCGAAGTTGAGGAGGCGACGCCGTGAGGGACGGGAGGAGCATGCAGCTGGCGTTGGGGCCTGGGGGTTGGAGCCGCCGGAGGTGGCTGGGGCCGGAGAATCGGGCTTCCCCTGCTCGTCGAAGCGGCGGCTGAGCAGGCAGGAGGAGGAGATGGAGGAGCATGCAGCTGCAGCCGGGGCCTGTATGGCGGAGCCGGGGGAGACTGGGGCCAGAGGAGGCTGCTCCCCTGAGTTGGGGAAGACGCCGCAGCTGGCTGGTAGTGCGGCCTGGAGCCGGCGGCCGGGGCCGGGTAGTAGTAGGCATGCTGATCATCGTCGCCACTCAGATAGACATATCCATCATCGTCGTCTTCTCCCTTGCAGCAGCACCACAGGGCGTTCCCCATGGATGGATCGAGCTAGTTGCTCTGGCTCGCTTGCTTTCGCTTGTCCTCTTCTTTGATTCTCGAGGAGCTCGAAGCTCGGGTAATGTGAGCCTGTGAGTGTGCCAGAGTGAGTGACAGGGGCTAGGAGTGGGTGAAGAGGACGGTGGAGGATGGAAAGAAAGCGAATATGGCTATGCCTAACCGATTGCGCGCACAATTCAAATCTGCTCCACACATCGCCATGCACATCCCATCAGCCTGCATGTCCACTCTCTGTCTTCTCTATTCTCTCTCCCAAACAAATTCAACCCTTTTATTTCACCTTTTCTAATTTAAATCATTTATATCTTTTAAACCAATATTCCAATTTCAAAACAAATTGTTCCTATATAATCATGAGGCAAAGTCCTTTAGAATAAGACTAATATTGAATATTTTTTAACTACTTTGAATTTTTAAATGAGTGAAATATGTTATTGAAACGAGTGAAATGAATGAAATTTGTCATTGAAACAAGTGAAATGAATGAAATTTGTCATTGAAACGAGTGAAATTAGTTATTGAAATTAGTGAATTAGTGAATCCATTTTTTGAAATGAGTGAAATCTGTTATTGAAAACGAGTGAAATGACTAAAATGAGATGGAATCAATTTTTGAAATGACTGAAATCTATTATTGAAACGAGTGAAATGTGTTAAATATGCTATTGAAACAAGTGAAATGAGTGAATAATGTTATCAAAACAAGTGAAATGAGTGAAATCTGCTTTTGAAAAGAGTGAAATATGTTATTGAAACGAGTGAAATATGTTATTGAAAATTTTAAACTACCCAAAATATATCCGAAAATGATCTTGTTCTAAAGTTCCTTTTGTCAGGAGTTCGAGTATATAAAAAGTTCTGAAATCAAAATATTAGTTTAAAAGATGTAAAAGATTTAAGTTAGGAAAGGTGAAATAAAAGGGATGGATTTGTTTGGGAGAGAGAAGAGAGAAGAGAGAGTGCACATGCCGATGTGACACAATATGTACTAGCTGATGTGATGTGCGTGGTGATGTGTGGTGGAGATTTGGGTTGTGCGCGCAATGAGTTAGACAAAATCCAGGTCCGAAAGAAAGGTGCTGGCCTGCTGGGCCATGCGCCCATGCCGAAAATGATACACTTATGGGTAACTTTCACG